CACCAATGCCTCCTCTACCTCCTCCCTTCTTCCTGTCCCCCCCACAGGGGTCATCGGGGCGTTGAGATCTTGCCCACGTCTACCGCACCCTGACCAGCCATTGTTAACGCATTGTTCCAGGAAACTGCAACAGAGGAAACGTCGTTCATCCCATAGCCGCCGACCTCACGAATAGCATGGCCTCCTCAAAGGGCCGAGCAAGCGGCAGGTGTCACGCATCGAGCTGGCCAATGGCTGACATCTAAGTTACACAGGGGAATAACCTTTATCCGCATTGTAACATCAGGAAATTCGTGATCGGGCCTTTCCGCTGTTCATAAAGTCGGTCTAACATATGTAGGGTTGAATTCCACCCTTGTTGCCACGATCAACCAGCATGAGTGAGTCCGGGTACGGGGGCCCATGGCAGATTACGGACCTGCCACAGCAATGGGAGGCCCGTAATCTGCCAGCAACTCCTATAACAAAATGGAAACCCTACCAGCAGTGTGGAGGAGAACTGAAAGTGGCCACATGTGCAGAGTGTGGCGATGGAGCACAGCAGCAATGGGAGGCCGTACAGGGAACCCATGAGACACTCTGGACCTGTCAGCAGCATGAGGAGGCGGTACGGGGGGCCCATGGCAGATTACGGGCCCTGGGCAGCAGCTATGGGAGGGCCCGTAATCTGCCAGCACCCTATGACAAAATGGAACACACCAGCAGTGTGAGGAGACCTGAAAGTGGCACATGGCAGAGTGTGGCGATGGAGACAGCAGCAATGGGAGGCCCGTACAGGGACCCATAGAGACACTCTGGACCTGGCAGCAGCATGAGGAGCGGTATGGGGGGCCCATGTCAGATTACAGGCCCTGGCAGCAGCAATGGGAGGGGGCACGTACTCTGCCAGCAACCCCTATGACAAAATGGAACAACACCAGCAGTGTGGAGGAGACCAGAAAGTGGCACATGGCAGAGTGTGTGGCGATGGAGACAGCATCAATGGGGAGGCCAATTCAGGGAACGAACCATGAACAGATTATGGGCCTTAGGCAGCAGTCATGAGGAGGCGGTAACGAGGGGCCCATGGCAGATTAACGGACCTGGCAAGCAGCAATGGGAGGCCCTCGTAATCTGCCACACCCTATGACAAAATGGAACACACCAGCAGTGTGAGAAGGAGACCTGAAAGTGGCACATGCAAGTGTGGCGATGGAGAAAGCAGCAATGGGAGGCCATACAGGACAAACTGAGAACACTGTGGAACTGCAGCTAGCATGAGGAGTTGGGTACAGTGGGCCCATGGGGCAGATTTATCAGGCATAGGCAGCAGCAATGGGAGGCCCGTAATCTGAGGTCCAGCACCCGATGACAAAATGGACAGCACCAGCCCAGTGGAGGAGACCTGAAAGTAGCACATGGCAGAGTGTGCGATGGAGTCAGCAGCAATGGAGGCCGTACAGGGACCCATGAGACACTGTGGACCTGGCAGCAGCATGAAAAAAGGAGGCGGTACGGGGGTCCCATGGCAGATTACTGGCCTTGGCAGCAGCAATGGAGCCCGTAATCTGCCAGCACCCTATGACAAAATGGAACCCACCAGCAGTGTGAGGAGACCCTAGAAAGTGGCACATGGCAGAGTGGTGGCGATGGAGACAGCAGCAATGGGAGGCCGTACAGGGACCCATGAGACACTCTGGACCTGGCAGACAGCACCAATGAGGAGGCGGTATGGGGGGCCCATGGCAGATTACAGGCCTGCAGCAGCAATGGGAGGGCGTAATCGCCAGCATCCCTATGGGACAAAATGGAACACACCAGCAGTGTGAGGAGACCCTGAAAGTGGCACAATGGCAGAGTGTGGCGATGGAGACAGCAGCAATGGACGAGCCGTACAGGGACCCATGGACAGATTAATGGGCCTGGCAGCAGCATGAGGAGGCGGTACAAGGGGCCTATCATGGCAGATTACAGGCCTGGCAAAGCAGCAATGGGAGGCCCGTAATCTGCCAGCACACCCTATGACAAAATGGAACACACCAGCAGTGTGAGGAGACCTGAAAGTGGCACATGGCAGAGTGTGGCGATGGAGACAGCAGCAATGGGAGGCGGTACAGGGACCCATGAGACACTGTGGACCTGGCAGCAGCATGAGGAGCGGGATACGGGGGCCCATGGCAGATTACGGCCTGGCAGCAGCAATGGAGGCCCGTAACTCTGCCAGCACCCTATGACAAAAAATGGACAGGGGCCAGCAAGAGTCAGTGAGGAAAGACCTGAAAGTGGCACAAGCACAGGCAGAGTTGTATGGGTCGATGGAGACAGCAGCAATGGGAGGCCGTACAGGGACCCATGAGAACACTCTGGAGACCTGGCAGCAGCATGAGGAGAAAAAAGGCGGTACGAACGGGCCCATGGCAGATTACGGGCCCATGGCAGCAGCAATGGGAGGCCCGTAATCTGCCAGCACCCTAAGTGACAAAAAATGGAACACACCAGCAGTGTGAGGAGACCTGAAAGTGGCACATGGCAGAGTTGGTGGCGATGGAGACAGCAGCAATGGGCGGTAAGGCCATACAGGGACCCATGAGACTCACTGTGGAACCTGCAAGTGCAGCATGAAGGAGGTGGTACAGGGGCCCATGGCAGATTTACAGGCCACATGGCAAGCAGCAAAGGGAGGCCCGTAATCTGCCAGCACCCTATGACAAAATGGACAGCACCCAGCAGTGTGAGAGACCTGAAAGTAGCACATGGCAGAGTGTGGCGATGAGTCAGCAGCAATGGAGGCCGTACAGGGACCCATGAGACACTGTGGACCTGGCAGCAGCATGAGACGTAGGGCGGTACGGGGCCCATGGCAGATTACGGGCCCTGCAGCAGCTATGGAGGCCCGTAATCTGCCAGCACCCTATGAGACAAAATGGAACCCACCAGCAGTGTGAGGTGACCTGAAAGAGTGGCACATGGCAGAGTGTGGCGATGGAGACAGCCTAGCAATGGGAGGCCCGTACAGGAACACGACCCCATGACACACTCTGGACCTGGCAGCCAGCATGAGGAGGTGGTACAGGGGCCCATGCGCAGATTAACGGGCCTGGCAGCAGCAATGGAGGCCCGTAATCTGGCCAGCACCCTATGACAAAATGGAACACACCAGCAGTGTGAGGAACCTGAAAGTGGCACATTTTGGGGCATGATTCATGGCGGATTTAAGTCAGTTTGTGTCAGGAACTGATGGTTTGAAATCCAGACTAAGCCACTCGCCTGATTCATTTTCACAAACTGAGTCTCTTCCACACTTTGGGTGACAGTCGTGTCTTCCGCCGAGTTACAATACCTCCTGCCGCACTAAACATGCGCTCCCGATGCGCAGCCACTACACTGGCCGGGCATGACAGCCTTTCAAGGGCAAATTCAGCTAGTTGGGGCCAAAGTCAAGTTTCGTTGCCCAGTAGTCAACGGATTTGTCTACCTCAGATTGCAGGGTGCGTCCAAGTAGGCCCAAGCCTGTTTGTTTTGAGGTCCTGCTCCAGTCCACCTGAAAATGCTGCTGCTGCTGCGGCTGGTTAGTATTTCCTCACTGCGCTGGTGAAGAAAGCTACTCATCATCGACTGCAGACTGTGGCAGCCGCTGCTGGTGGAGCTGCCACTCGCTCCTACCACCCCACCCCACCCCTCCCCTGCTGCCATAGCAGCGGAACGCGGAGCGCACAGGGCCCACAGTGTCTGAGGATGGACGTTGGCGCACAAAGGCAAGACCAACTGACTACATAGGTGGTTTTTATAGTACGTTATTTTGGCCTCCCTCTCAAGCAGGTGTGAAAAAGGCCACCAAATTTTTGAACGGTAAAGCGAGGAGTCCATCAAGGTGGACAGCCAAAATCATCCCTCTGTCTGATGTTATTATTCGGGCTGTCGCTACGCAAGCAACCGAGCATGCTATGGGCCATTTGTGCCAAGGAATGCGAGGGACTCCCTGCCTCCATCTCCACAGCATACTGCCACGGTGCGTCTGGGTCCTGAGTGTCTCCTCCTCCTCCTCCTCTACCAGAATGCTCCTGCTCCTCCACTCCTGTCCCGCTGAGTGGAAAAAACCAACCCATTTCACTCAATAATATCCTGAGCACAAAATGTCCTCCTCTACCTCCTCCTCTTCTTCCTGTCCTGCCCACCACAGGGGTCATGTGTGCGTTGAGATCTGTGCGCCACGTCTACCGCACCCTGACCAGCCTCATTGTTAACAGCATTTGTTCCAGACGTGCAACAGAGGAATGACGTCGTTCATCCCATAGATCCTGCCGACTCACGAATAGCGTGGCCTCCTCAAGGGCCTGAGCAAGCGGCAGTGTCACGCATGAGCTGCCAATGGCTGACATCGAAGTTACACAGGGTAGTACCTTTATCCGCTTGTAACATCAGGAAATCGGTGATGCTCCTTTCGCTGCTTGTAAAAAGGCGGTCTAACACATTGTAGGGTTGAATTCCACCTTGTTGCAAACGTCGCAGATCAGGCGATGCTGTGGAAATTCCGTTCTGTCTGCCGCTGCAGCTCAAGGAGGGTGTGCTTTGCGGTGTAGGAATGGCTGAAATGCGCATGCAAAGTTTACGTGACATTTTAAGGATGTCTTGCAGTGGGGATGGTGGATTTTAGGAACCCTTGACAACCAGATTGAACACGTGAGCCATGCATGGCGCATGGCACAACCTTCCTTGACGCAGAGCAGACACCCATGTTCTTTCCGTTGTCGGTCAACAATGGTTCCGATTTTCAGTTTGCGCGGAGACAGCCATCTGTCGATTTCTCAGTTCATTACACTGAGAAGTTCCTCCCCTGTGTGACTACGTTCGCCAAGGCATACCCAGTTTGCAGCACAGCGTGACACCGTTGCGCCCTGCACATGTGATATGCCGGTCGGTAACGGGACTTGGCACGGGGGTGGCGGCTGAGGACAAAAACGCGGAAGAAGAGGTGGTAGAGGCGGACATCTTTGCCGGACCAAGGACGTGCAAACGTGGAGGCAAAAGCGGCGTGACCTGTCCAAATTGCTGTGCACGCTGTGAACGGCACCCACTTCACTGCACCCAGTGGGCCGTAATGACATGTACTGTCCCTGACCCTCGTAGTTACAGCTCCAAACGGCGCTGCCGTGCACTTTGGCAGAGACCGACATGCCACAAAGACTGGCCCACCAGGAGGTCTTCTTACATGGTGAATGCATGCAGGCTGGCACTGCCTTTTGGCGAAGAAATGCCGGCTTGGCAGCTCTCCACCGACCAGCGGCGCGGCACAAGCCAGGGCCATTTCTCGGAAAGGTGCTGATGTCCAACCACTTGTAAAGTGAGGGACACGCAGCACCAGCCACTATCTGGACAGGAGGACTTACACTTCTGCACCGTCGTGAGCGTGCTCGCAACTGAGTTGTCTCTTGGAAACGGATTCCAAGAAAGGACTGCTGACGGAATCCGTGAAGAGGAGCAAGGCAGGATACAAAGGAGCAATCTGAACGAGCGGAAGATGCCAACGAGCGACAACTCCCCCTCAGGCAAGGTAAAATGTTGGAGCCTTGACCTGGCTGATAGAGGGCGATTGAAGCCGACGGGTGACGGAGCAAGTAACGGAGCGGGTGATGGAGCGGTGGGCTGGGGCAGGCAGAAAATTCACCCGTATCTTTACACGGTTTTCCCAGGCCACCAAAAGTGGCGACGCTGCATATGCTGCCGCAACGCTGTAGTCTCCCCCAACATGGGCCCCCTGGCCACTGCTTGACTTTCTTAGACACACATAGTCTGTGACATAATGCGGCTGAGCATTTACTTCCACGGTGAAGGGCTTGACGAAAAAAGGGAATGCCACACGCCGCCGAGTAGGGTAAACTTTGCCTCCCGCTACTCCTCGACCTGGCTGACTGCTATCTTCCTAAATACGTGCACACCGGCACCACTACACTGGCCAGTGGTGGTAGGCTTGCAGTGGAGCTCGGTGCTCAACTCCGTGGCCGTTTGGCCTCCACTGACACTGCTGCGAACCACTGCTGTCACTCCTGGGCAAACCCACCGACTGTTTTGCTCCGCTGCCAAGCTGGCACCCTCTTCTCCTGATGATGCGGAAGCAATAGCCTGAATGACGACGAGGCTAGCCAAGTGCGATCAAGCTCATCTTCATCAATTAGGGTCTCCGCCTCACTACTAGCCCCCTCGGCTGCGTGTGGGTCAGGAGACAGACCTGTCTCTATACCGCTACCGAGCACCTAGACCACTCTCCTCGCCAGTACTCTTCGCCACTGGCTGCTGAAGAGGCGGATGTCCCTCCCCCCGTTCCCTTGACCGCCCACTGTTTAGCTCTTCCTCACTGTAAAGTGGAGGCTGAGCCCACAGCCTGCGATACTTCGCTTGGTGAGAGGACACACCAAAGGACAGGGGCAGGTAGAGGACCACGTGAATTTCAGTGGTCTTGCTCCCGGGCCATGCCAACTAACGGTTGTGTCTGACATACCACCGACCGTTGGCAGTAGGCTGTCATAGGTGATCCTGGGAAGAGGAAGACGACCGACGCCAACTACAATCCGAATGAACGGCATGGTTGTCGGTGGGAGACACGACCGCTGGATGACACTCCTCGGGTAGCACTGTTGTCTCGTGGCTGGCGACTCAGTGCGCTGCCTCGACCCCTTGTCCCTGCTGCCACCGTCTGGGCCTCCCCCCTCGCTCCTAAAACATTGCCTCCTCTGCCACTCCACTGCATGTTGTCTGACATACTCTTTAATTCAACGAGTTTCTGTGTCCCCCTGAGTAACAATTCTTGTCCCCTGAGTAACAATTCTGTGTCTTGATGTCCCTGAGTAAGAACAATTCTGTAGTCCTCTGAGTGATAACAATTCTGTGTCCCTCAGTAACAATTCTTCTGTGTCCACTGAGTAACAATTTCTGTGTCCGAGTAACAATTCTGTGTCTGTCCCTGAGTTAACAATTCTGTGACCCTCACGTAAACAATTCTGTGTTCCCTCAGTAACAATTCTGTGTCTGTCCCTAGTAAACAATTCTGTGTGTCCCTGGAGTAAGATTCATTCCTGTTCTGTCCCCCCCCCCCCCCTGAGTAACAATTCAGTGTGTACCCTCAGTAACAATTCTGTGTCCCTCAGTATAGCAATTCTGTGTCCCTCAGTAACACTTTCCTCGTGTCTGTCCCTGAGTAACAATTCTGTGTCTCTGTCCCTCTGAGTAACAATTCTCTGTGTCCCGTCATAACAAACAATTCTGTGTCCCCACAGTAACATTCTGTGTCCCCTCATGATAACAATAGCTGTGGTCTGTCCTGAGTAACAATTCTGTGTCCTGTCCCTCAGTAACAATTCTGTGTCCCTCCTGAGTAACACTTCTGTGTTCCTCAGTAACAATCTGTGTCCCCGAGTAACAATTCTGTGAACCCGAGTAACAATTCTGTGTCCCTCATTAACAATGCTGTGTCCCTCAGTAACAATTCTGTGTCTGTTCCTGAGTAACAATTCTGTGTCCCTCCAGTAACAATTCTGTGTCCCTCAGTAACAATTCTGTGTCTGTCCTTGAGTAACAATTCTGTGTACTCACCTGAACAATTCTGTGTCCCTATAGTAACAATTCTGTGTCTGTCCCTGAGTAACAATTCTGTGTCCCTCATAAACAATTCTGTGTCCCTCAGTAACAATTCTGTGTGCTGTCCCCTGAGTAAACAATTCTGTGTCCTGTGCCCTTGAGTAACAATTCTGTGTCCCTCAGTAACAATTCTGTGTTCCCTCAGTAAACAATTCTGTGTCCCTCAGTAACAATTCTGTGTCCCGTCAGTAACAATTCTTGTGTCTGTTCCCTGAAGTAACAATTCTGTGTCCCCTCAAGTAACAAATCTGTGTCCCTCAGTAACGATCTCTTGTGACCCTGAGTAACAATTCTGTGTCCCTGAGTAAACAATTCTGTGTCCCTCAGGTAAACAATTCTGTGTCCCTCAGTAACAATTCTGTGTCCCTCAGTAACAATTGCTGTGTCCCTCAGTAAACAATTCTGTGTCTGTCCCCTGAGTAACACAT